AAGTATTGCAAGGGAAAGTGGATGGCTAATTAATTAATGTTGTCAGGGAAAGTAAATTGGGCTGCTAATGATCGCTAAGCAATTTGTGTTGCAAGGGAAAGTGGGACACTAGGTTTACTATGTAAAAGATAAAAGGGAAAGTGGGTTATTAAATTTTTTATACTTGGGCTACAGCCCTTCTTAGCCTTGTAAAAAGCTCTGCCTCTGACCTGAGACTTACCTGGTTGTTAATTTTAGGGTCTTAGTCAATTAGTTGAAATGCATGTAAGCTAATTCGGATATTTACGGTTATAAAAAAAAAGCAATTTTAGTTAAATTCAACTAATAATAGATGAATTTTGTTTTTAATAATCATACACATAATAAATAACAAATATTATCAAATGAGATTTAAACTCAAAACCAAAATGTAAAAAATTGTATGTGTGTAAAACATCTACTAGTAGAAAACGGCTTGCACCATTACCATCTTTACTTGTGTGCCAACCTTCAAATACCCTGAATTGGATAATATTATCACATAGATGGTGCAAATGCATAGATTTATTATATTGGATGTCACTTTATTGCTAGGGTTAGATTAATTAGATTTATTTATTATTAATTTGATTATTTAAATCATTTTATTATTGTTCAAATTGAGTGACCAATAAATGGTATGAGTTGTCATTATGACATGTGTATATCAAATATATTTAGTAAAAGAAGATGAAAAATAATGTTTGTTTTTTTCTGTAGAAAAAAGATTTATATGTTATTTGTCTTTTAGAGATCGTTTGGTTATATGTTTGCGACAACTTTTTTATTTAATTGTGATTTCATCTTATTTGGTTACAAAATATACTCAATTTTTATGCATAGGCCCCACTATGAAATACATTCAAAAATCGGTTTTGTAAAAGCTATTTTTACATGCTTTTCAGAATGCTACATTTCTACTCTGTTTATAGACGGGAGGCCATAAAAAAGAGAGAAGTAGAAGAGCAAAAACAAAGGAAAAATATAAGGATTGCAGTCCATTAGTGGAGAGTAGCTCCCTTTCATGATCGGCCTCCATCGTTCCCACCATCGGGCTACTTTTTCCTTTCTCCTTCATCTGTCTTCTGTATTTTCCACTGTTTTGCAACGTGATCAGTGGAGTGTGAATTAATTCACTCTCCAGTATTGACGTTGCATTTGAAGAGTGACCAACCACAAGCTTTTCCACCATCCCTCGGTCCATCATCGTCACACTGCTATTTCCCTTTCCCTTTCTCTTCTCCTTCTTTTTCGTTTAGGTTGCTCTCCACTATTCTGCAAAGTGAATAGCGGAGAGTGAATTAATTTACTCTCTATTTTTTATGGTCGAACCAGGTCTGACCCAAACCTAAATGTGTTAGACCGGTCCGACCCAATAAAATAAAATTGTTTCACACTCAGGAAATCATAAAAACTATAGTTTTTGTCGAATAGATTTTGTAAGTGATGAAATTACAAATAGTTTAATGAAATAATAAAAAATATGTTATATAAAGTATTTTTTATTTCATGATATAATAGTAGTAGTTAAGTCTATAATATTGAAATTAAAAATCATCAATATTAATATATATCTTTTTTAGTTATTTTATGACCTAAATTTCAAAAATATTCTTAATCAAATATAATAAATAATTTTTTGTTCAATCTTAATTTTAACCACAGTTTTAACTAAATATATATTTTAACAAACTAATCTCAACTAAAAATATTTTTTATAAAATAATTTTTTTTCAAAATATAATCATGAAAATAATCACAATATCAAACATACTTTAATATGTAATGGAGAGTGTTGAGATTAGTGTTCAGCATTTTATTGCCTCTACCCTTGGCTTGATTGGATTCCAATCTTAAATCAAGAAATTGTTTCTTGATTTACACTAATTTAGCTTAGTGGTGGGGTAGTATAGTTTAGCCTTCTCGGCTGATAGGGAGGTACTTTATCTCTGGTGAAATTAAATAACAATAAAAATATGCAATTTTTATTATATTGTGCTAATCATGATTTTTAAACTTAAAATTATTGGCTCGGTCCAAGACCTGGATAACCAGGTTTTAACCATATCATTCAGGTTAATTATTTTAAATTAAAATGATGTTATTTTAATAAAAAAAATTTAATAAATTACAATCAAATCTTGCAGAATTACAACAGATTTTTGCTTCTTTTATTTTTCCTTCAATCCAGCTAATTTCTAGCTCTGGATTCTAGATTGATCTGCCGGCCAGAACAGTTTCAAAACTATAGCACTGATATCACAAAAAATAATATCATGAAAAAATACTCATGTAAAAACACATGAGGTGAATGAGGTAGCACACATTGAGGATGCATGTGCAGCCCAGGCCATCGATGTCAGCTGTCTGTGCTATAGTCCAGGACACAATCAATTGGCATATGCAAAATTTGGTTCTGCATAAGTACATGTAAAATTGCTAACATCAAACAATCTACCATGTTCTTGCCTACCTGAGCTAAAAATTCAAGTCAGAAATTGTGTAATTGGGTTACGGTTATTTTTTTAAAAAAATTTAGAAATATATTAAATTAATATTTTTTATTTAAAAAAATTATTTTTGATATTAGTATATCAAAATAATTTTAAAACATTGAAAAAATATTAATTTAAAATAAAAAATTAAATTAAATTTTTTTATAAATATTTTTAAAATATAAAAACAAGCATGCCAATGAAAATAATTACAGGGACTAGGTTCACATGTTTCAATCGCTACAGTTGCTACCCCAGTGTGTTTTATTTAAATTGAAAATGTGAAAAGCGGTATTCGTTTGTGTGTTTTCACAGGTAAGATGATCAAATGTAGCCTTTGTTGATAAGCAAGCATAAATTGGAACCATAAAGTAGTTGGGGGGAAGGGATCGTGATCGGGCGTCCATATACTTATGATGTTGAGCACAAGCCCACGACTATTCGGTATAATTATAAAACTAAGTTCAACTCTATAGGTTGAGCTTTCTCTTGTCGGAACCAGATTTTGAAGAAAAATTAATTTGGTTGGTCTGATGAAAATTCAATTTAATTTTTAAAAATATTTAAAATAATATTATTTTGATTTTAAAAAATAAAATAACTTTATTTTAATTTATTCGGGTAATTTAATCAACCTATAATCTTGATCTTACATTGAGTCATAGGCTTGGTTGAGTTCAAAACTATGAATTACAGGTTTACAACAGAGTAGTAAAAGAGCGATTCAGGTATATAATTAATACTAAATAAGTAGTTTGTGTTATGCCACATGCCGCTTTTCTTTTTCAACATAAAAAAAATATTAAAATGATGTAAATGTTATTAAAAAACCAAAAACAATATATATATATATATTGAGATTTATTTTTTAATATAATTTTTTTTAATTTATGTTTTTTAATTAATTTTTTTTTATTTTTCTTTTGATACAATTATCCCATTCTCATTTAAATTTTTTTATTAACAAATAAAATGATTGAGACAATTTAAAAATATTATAAAAATATATTTTTATAATATTTTTAAATTGTCTCAATCATTTTATTTGTTAATAAAAAAATTTAAATGAGAATGGGATAATTGTATCAAAAGAAAAATAAAAAAAAATTAATTAAAAAACATAAATTAAAAAAAATTATATTAAAAAATAAAATAAAAAAATATGATTCAACGCTATTAAATCTACCGAATTTATGATATCGAAATAACTCTATAAAAATAAAAATTTTAAAAAATAACATAATACTCATAATCCTCTAAATTTAATAAATATAATACAAATACCTAGATCTTCTATCTAATAAATAATAAATATAATAAAAATATAATAAAAAACCATTTGTGAACACTAATTGGAATCCTAGAGATTCCAAAAATCTATATGCCAAATGCCCTCCGTAATGTTATTGTGAAGACGTTTTCGGATTAATGCCCTCGTGGCCACCAATCACCCCTCAACTTTTTCTTAATGGACATAAACAAAAGTCGTTCCCTTGGAAACATGCCACCACTCCGGGACCACTTGACTTTTCGTTATCGCCATCAGCCGCTTTGAAGATCACGTTATCATCACGCACATCAACGGCTAAAATTAACATCACGTCTCATACCTAACAATCAAATCTAGCCGTGTATAAAAAGAGATCAGCATGACCCGTCTCACGAGAGTTTGACCAACATCATCTTCCCATTTTTAAATTTGGTCAAATAAATCCACATACTTCATTTGGCTTTTCAATTTAAACCCTTAGCGTTAAATTTAAATTGAATTCAATTCTTCTAGCTAAATAATTACCAAAAAAAATTAAAAGGCATGAGATTAAATTCTTATTGGGTTTTAGGCCATGTTTGTTTCCTGAAAAATAGTTTTTGAAAAATCACTTTCCAAACTTTTCTGTGTTTATTTGTCATTAGGAAAATTGGTCAGCGGAAAACATTTTTCGGTCAACAAAAAACACTTTCTAGTCAACGGAAAACACTTTACAGTCAATGGGAAACATTTTCTGGTCAATGGAAAATACTTCAGTCAATGGGAAATATTTTCTGGTCAACGGAAACACTTTCTGGTCAACAAAAATATTTTATTAATAAATTATTTTCCAGTTCATTTTCCATAACATAACTAAACACTAGAAAGAGTTTTCCAGTTCATTTTCCATAACACTATCAAATATTGAAAAATATTTTACTTTTCAGAAATTTATTTTTCCTAAAATTCATTTTTCCAGAAATTCATTTTTCAAAAAAAAATAATTTTTTTATAAATAAACAAAGCCTTAATTCTCGATAGAAAGTAATATAAAATCTCTTTAAATTTATTCCCGTGTAGCTGGAATTTAAAAAGCCTAAAAGGTGGCCAACTCTCCTTGGAGGAACTAATTTAACAAAAAGAAAACACAGATATTGAGTTGAACAAATCCCAAAACTCAAGGGATCACAGCTGAATTTAGTCTGCCCGGTTGGCTCTCTTTTTATACTTGCAGTAGATCCTCGCTTCTATCGCCCACTACATCACTTGTATAGCCCACTGCATCTCTTGTATCTCCTCACTGACTACAACTCTCATACTGTTTCTCAGCGTGTCTCGGTTTCTCTAGAATCATGGGTAAGTGATCCTGTGTTTCTGCCGTTCCATCTTTGCTTTTTTTTAAAAAAAAATTGCTACCTTTTTCTACGATGACCTTCAGATCTGATTTTCTTCTTCCTTTTCTTTTCCTTTTGTTGATGTTCAGGAAAGATCAAGATTGGAATCAACGGTAATAAATCTGCTATTAACTTAACTTGATTTGATTAAATTAGATTATGTTTTGATTTGATCTGATCTGATCTGATATAAATGAAAAATTCAGGATTTGGAAGAATTGGAAGGTTGGTAGCTAGAGTAGCTTTACAGAGAGATGATGTTGAACTTGTTGCTGTCAACGATCCCTTCATTACCACCGATTACATGGTACTACTCTGTTTTTCTTCTTCTCGTGTCTGGTTTTGTGTGTTCATATTTCTGGATCTGATGTATTCTTGCTGTTTGTAGACATATATGTTTAAGTATGATACAGTTCATGGTCAATGGAAACATCATGAGCTTAAGGTTAAGGATTCTAAGACACTTCTCTTCGGAGAGAAGTCTGTTACTGTTTTTGGTGTCAGGTATGATTGTCTTCTTCTCCTTTCATTTTCCTGTTGATATTCTAGTCAATAATTTTGATTGGTAAAGTTGATATGGTCTTTTTTAAAATTTGTAGGAACCCAGAGGAGATCCCATGGGGTGAGACCGGAGCTGATTATATTGTGGAGTCGACTGGAGTTTTCACTGATAAGGATAAGGCTGCTGCTCACTTGAAGGTATATTTCTCAACTTTTTAATTTTTTGTGCCCTTTTCTTATACTTAATGGGATGTATTTTTTATGGTTTCTGCGTTTTGGTTTATTATGGGTTTACTTTGATTAGTTTTGGTGTTTTGGATTCGAGGTGGTGTTGGTGTATCAGGCTTGTGGTTCCTAGATTTGATGCATATGAATATCTTACTAAATAAGCTTTGAAGTGCCCTTTTAGGCGGGTTTAGATGATGATGAGTGTAAGAAGTGACCGCTTTTTTGTTAATCATGCATTTTTGTGCCTATTGTATTTGTCACGGCTGGAGTCACTTTTCTTACTGATTATAGTTTTTTATTTGCAATTGAGTTTGCATTGGTTCTGAAATGCCTCCTTGGTTGATGTCGTGCTAATCAGCTGTGTAATTGTGCTAATTATTTGTAGAGTTTTTGGTTGCATGGTGGCTTCAAAATTTAGGTGGTGTTTGGAGTTGTGGTAGAGGTTGCTTTTCAAAGTGTTTATTTGCTTGGAATGATGAAGTTTTTTTCAGTTTTAAAATTTAATTTTGACATCAGCATATCAAAATGATCTAGAAACACCAGGAAAAATAAATTTGACTGTGCAGTGATGTTTAATTGTGTTATATTTAATTGGGTTAATTTTGTTTAACAGGGTGGAGCTAAGAAAGTCATCATCTCAGCCCCAAGCAAGGATGCTCCTATGTTTGTCATGGGTGTTAATGAGAAGAGTTACACACCGGATCTTAACATTGTATCCAATGCTAGTTGCACTACCAACTGCCTTGCTCCCCTTGCTAAGGTCATTGCCCACTTGGTCATTGCACATGTTACGTAAATTATGGGAGCCTTATAACTGACTCATTAAAATTGCAGGTCATTCATGACAGATTTGGCATCATTTAGGGACTTATGACCACTGTTCACTCTATTACTGGTATGGCTCGTCCTTGTTTTTCATTTCTTTTTTTGGATAAAAGAAGAAAAACCATCTAGTGAGTAGTGGATGTATGCACATTATTCTTACAATTCTTCTTCCTGACACTGATCCAGCTACCCAGAAAACTGTTGATGGGCCCTCTTCAAAGGACTGGAGAGGTGGAAGAGCTGCTTCATTCAACATCATTCCTAGCAGCACAGGAGCTGCAAAGGTAAGGACCACATGGAGCTCTACACAAGTTTGTTGTTCATCTGCTGAATCTGAAGGCTTCACTTTCCTTTGTGTTAACTATATACAATTTTCCCCCTCATTTCAGGCCGTGGGGAAGGTCCTACCTGCTTTGAATGGCAAGCTGACAGGAATGGCTTTCCGTGTTCCTACTGTTGATGTCTCTGTTGTGGACCTCACAGTGAGACTTGAGAAGGGAGCTAAATACGAAGATATTAAAGCTGCAATCAAGTGAGTTCTATTAAGATTTAGTCCAGAACATATAGGAGAAACTATTTTGTAATGCATGATATAGGTTAATCGTGTGTAAGCTTTGGGGATGCATGGTGTTAAATCAAACTGTTCAAACTTTCCAATTTTTGATTCTTGATATCTTCTTCCAGATTTTAACTTGGTTTCATCTTTTCAACAGGGAGGAGTCCGAGGGAAAGATGAAGGGAATCTTAGGGTACACCGACGAAGATTTGGTTTCAACCGACTTCATTGGTGACAACCGGTAAGAATAGATGTAAATCCTAGATGTTCAGACCTTTTATTTCATTGCTACGATGGAGTTGATGTGTTAGTGCGGTGTGTTATGGAGGTTGCTTGTGGAATTTGACCAATGGGTCTGATGTTTACAGGTCAAGTATCTTTGATGCCAAAGCTGGAATTGCTTTGAACGATAACTATGTGAAGCTCGTTGCATGGTATGACAACGAGTGGGGCTACAGGTAATTTCCTGACTATTTCTTTCATTACCTAGCTATATAGTTAATGGATGTTCATTCCTTTGATTGGAGAAGGGGGGTTACCTGCTTAGAGTTGCGCCTTTCTTCTTTGCTTGAGTTGAGCATTAATAGCTGCTGCTATGTCACGCATCTTTTTCTTGATAATTTTGCAGCACTCGCGTGGTTGACTTGATCACGTACATTGCATCTGTTTCTAAATGAAGTCTCAACATGATGGAGCAGCTGCACGCGCTTCCAATTGCCTGCCTGGTTGTGGTGTTGGTTTTCTGTGATGTCAAGAGAATAAAATTGTTTTAAGACGCCATGCTATGAGCTTTGTAATGTCAGCAAGATACTCTGTTAGTTTTTAGGTTTGGCTTCTCCGTTTTACCCCGAGGAACTTTAAATTCATCGCAACCGGATTTTAAATATTTTTGCCTTTCTAGTATTGGGATTAAGGTGTTTCTGCCAACCTCCTGTACCTTAATCCCCTGTTGACTCCTTTTGCGGTTAAAATGAGCAATCCAGTTTGTAAAATTTGGCCTTGTGGCACGCCAAAACACAGTTTTTGCCGTAAGTATCGTGCGTGGTGAGATGTGGCGATGGCAAAGCAAAGTCTGAGTTGGGGTAGCTTAACATGGTCGATTTTAAGGGTTTGTTGGGAATGCGATGGAAATTGTATTCTTTTAAATTTTGATTTTGATTTTGTTAAAAATAATTTTTTTGTTAAAAATAATTTTTAAAAAGTAAAAAATATTATTTTAATATATTTTTAAATAAAAAACATTTCAAACATTACAACTACTATAATTTCAAATTACAATAACTATAATTTCAAATAAGCTAAAAATTTACTCTCAACTAGGTTAGGGTCTGTTAAGTAGGTTATGTTTAGAAGTCTTTTGATGTTAAAATATATTTTTTTTAAATAGTTTTTCATGTTAAAATATATGTTGATAATATTTTTTTATTATTTAAAAATTATCTTTAATATTAACATATTTAAATATTAAAAATATATTAATTTAAAGTTAATAAAAAAATAAAAACAATTTAAATTTTTTTAAAAATATTTTTAAAATATAGAAACAAATTTAAAACTAGAGCTGGATGTGGCAGAGCGCCTGGCAGGTGGAGGCCCACAAATTTAAACTAGAGCTGGACGTGGCAGAGCGCCTGGCAGGTGGAGGCCCGGGGGAGTTTTTTTTTAAAAAAATTTTTTATTGTTTTAATATAATAATAAATATTTTAATATATTAAAAAAACCTTTAAAAATTAATAATTAACATCAGGATTTAGGAACAATAGTCATAAACACGGGCCAAATTTCTCAAGTCTCAACCCCCGAACCGGTACGCTATTTCGAAGGATTTGTTTATTGTAGTGAATGGATCATGATAAAACGACCATGACGCTGCTCCAGAACGGTATAGTGAATGGATCATGATAAAACGACCATCACAAAACGACCATCACAAAACGACCATGACGCTGCTCCAGAACGGCCCATCTATCATTAAATATGGGAAGTCAAAAAAAATAATCGTCATTAAACCCAATGATTTATACGGTGAACATCACGGGAGAAAAATAATAATATACAGAACAGAACACTATGATGTTGCAATGTCTTTCACTGACACAACTGTTTTTGGACATTTCTACCCTTGAGCAATGAACATGGAATCCTTTCTTTATTCATTAAAAAAAAAAAAAAACATTCTTCGACGCTTTTTGTGGAATAAAAATTTACAAGCTTTTATTGTCAAGATTTTATCCATAAATGGAAGAGCCTTTTCCGACAATAGCTCATTTTTTTTCTAAACTATGAAAAAATAATTTATAAATTACCATAATTTAACTTATTGTGAATATTAAAAATAAAAATAACAATTTAGTATATATTTAACGTTATAATAGCTTTAACCGTTTGAAATTCATTCATATAAGACATATAGAAAAAAAGAGAGAGAGAGAGAATCATATCAATTATCTTTTTAATTTTCTCTCATTGATTTCTCTTTTTTTATATTCATCTATTTTCTATATTATAAATATCCAATAATAATAAGTATCATAAATTTTTTTCATATTTCATAGCCATAAGAAAAAAAAATAGAAAAGAGAACTGTAGCTACTAAATATACTGTGAGCAAAATAATTTTTTCTAAAAACAAATTTCCTTATATATACCAGCAAATTTATGAGCGTCAAATTCCAAGTTTAAAACACAATACTAAATTACCACATTACCCTTTCCCAACTTTATTACCAATGATACCTAATATAGTTTTTAACAACAGGAAATTTTCAAATTTCTTCAAAATTTTCGATCTCTCCGCCAATACCACCAACTGAACCCCTCACTCTCTCTCTCTCTCTACAGCTCCGCCCTCTGCCATCATCCCCTCCTCGTGATTCTGCTCGCATTATACTCTCCGAAATGCCAAACATAGTAATTTTCTTCTGGTCAAACCTAAAGTAATTTTTAACTTTCTCCGCTGGATTAAAAAAATGGCAACCTCGGCTTTCAAATCCGCGACAAAGAGAGCACCAATCGGCAACGACAAGAACGACAGGTCGTCTGCCTCTGCTCACCGGCGGTCAAGGAGTCTCAGCCGGTTCTCCCGACCGATTCCATCCAACTTCTCCGACGATGCTCCGGTTCCGTCGAGAGGGAGGTTCGTGAACACGGAGAGAGGATCGGGAGTCCCGGATATGAGTCTTGACGATCTCGCTATTCAGTTGTTCAGTTCAGGTGATCGAGGGAGGTCTTCGGGTTTTAGAAGTGGTGACGTCAGCAATGGGGAGAGAGTTGTGAGTGGGTCCCAAAGGAGAGGGAGGTCTGTGTCGAGGCAAGGCAGTGAAAGTAATAGTAACAGTAAGAGTTATAGTGGTTGTGCGAAGGGGAATTCAGACGGTAATAATTCGAGGAGAAGACGTTCTGTTTCTGTGGTTAGATATCAAATTAGTGATTCTGAGGTAAAAAAAAATCTGGATTTTTTTTTTATTGTTATTAATTTCTCAATAGTAAATTGTTCCTTTTTAGTGAAAAGATAGGTAGCTTTTTGAATGTGGGGATGGATGTGGGATTTACCTGTGCTGTTTATTAATCATGACAAGAAAGTAGTGAATTACTAAATATGGATAGGAAATAGCATTCATGATCACTTTTGTACTTTCTCACTAACGAAGCATCTGCAGTGGAGCCCATGATGAGATCGCTCTAACATTTTGGAATTTTAAATATTATTTCTTATGAATGATCTTGGATATTTTTAGTTCTATTGTTACTTATTGTTACTTGCAGAGGTTTTGATTATAGTAAGAGCTGTTAATTATAATAAGAATTGTTTTTTGAAGTATTTTTTTGTTTAAAATTATATTAAAATAATTTTTTTATTTTTTAAAATTTATTTTTAACATTAATGTATCAAAACATTGAAAATACACAAGAAAAAAATTAATTTAAAGAAAAAATTTTAATTTTTTTAAAATATTTTCTAAAAAACTTAATTTAAAGAAAAAAAATTAATTTTTTAAAAATATTTTTAAAACGCACAAAAAAAAATTCCAAGTAGAACGCTTTCAGATCCTGTTTGCTTGCAGTAAATGACTAAATTGGATTCTTTCGTCAGGTGACTGGATTTGAATGTGTAGGCTTCTATAGAAGGGGTAATTTGTTGAATTAGGTTGTATTGAAAAACCGATTAAGAGTTGAATAACTTTTATCTATGTTTATTCTTTTACTGTGGAGGATTTCTTAATTTTCGTTTATTATTTATGGTTGCTTACCAAACTCCACATTTAAGAGTTAATTAATGCCCTTACTTGGAGTGCCATATGTTCAAAGAGTGAGAAAATGTAATTCCTCTGAGAATGATGCAGAAATTAGTGAATATATATTAGCTACTATACTTAGAAAATGATTTAGGCACAAATTAGTCAATGACTTTCTTTTCTAATATTTCTACATTATTTTCTTGGCAATGTCAGAGTGATCTAGATCATTCTCAGAATTCAAGAAATCATGCTAATCCGAGGCGTCACAGTAATGGAAACAACCAGGTCCCTTTGTCAAATACGACACTGGCTTCAAATCATAGACCTGGACTGAGAAGGTCTCTTAGCCAGAAAGATATAAAGTATCATGATGGCTACTCGGTAAGCCTTATATCCATGCAAGCTATGTTAATCATTTCTTCTGCATGTTGTTGAATCCTGTTTCATATCTGATAGGCTGACAATCTGGTACATTGCCCGGTCTGTCACATTCACATGCACATATACACATTTGCTGTTGTTTTAATATTGAGTTGCTGCAAGACTGGATTAAACCGTTGTTTTAATATTCTTTCACAACCTTTTCATATTGAGTTGCTGCAAGACTGGATTAAACTTTGTCCTTTCAGAGTCATTCATCAAGCCTAACTGATGATGAAGGAAAGGATGCTTCTTCCAATAAAAAGGGGTTCGAGAGAACGATAAGGACAGTTTATGCACAGAAGAAGGTTGGATATGATTTATGGAAATGATAACCGTGCAATGGGTGCTGTTTCAGTGTCCCTCCCTCTCTATCTCTCTGTGTGTGTTTTTCTGTATGAGAAGGTGTCCTCTTCTTCTCAGATCAGTCACTTATTGGCCATTCTTTTCACCTTTTAGGCAGAGCATCCCACCGGTGAGGATATGAATAACGGGCTGTATGAAGCAATGAGAAAAGAACTTAGGCATGCAGTAGAGGAGATCAAGATGGAGCTTGAACATGTCTGTATTTGTGTATCTCTTGAACTTGATTTAATTGTCTATATTATCTATTGCATGTGCATCCTTGTTTTGGTTTGTCTGATACTTACCTGGTTCCTTGAAATTGATGCAGTCTAGGGGGAAAACAAATGCAGACTGCTTGCAGTCTGGAAAATCTGATGTTTTTCAGGCTGGTTCTAATATCAGAAGGAATCATGCAGCAAAATCAGAACAGGTAAGAACGACTAATTACAATCTTTCTGTTTTTGTCAGTTTATCCCATGGCATAATATTCTTAATTTGGTTTTTAGTATTGCCAACAAGCAAAAGAGAGTGTCTTCTCGCCTGTCTTCTTTGATTTGGCTTTCTTGGAACTTATTATTGATTGAGGAATGAGAACTTGATTACTTCCAAGTTACCTTTTTGACACATGTTAGAAAGACTCGTTAGAGAACTGGTTTAGTTGTTATTTCTACTGGCGTTTCAAGATGACCTGTTCATATATGGATGTTGTATTAACAGTCCGAGAAGCGTAAACAAGACCTGTTAGCAAAACTACTGTTGGAGGAGAAACGTGGTAGAGATATCTCGAAGATCGTGAAAGAATTGCTTTCTGATCCAAAAAACACTGTGGTAGAAAAGCCATCACGAGCCCGAAATTCTGATCCAAAGAACACCGTGGTAGAAAAGCCATCACGAGCCCGAAAGGTACTTAGTCCTCTCTTCCGTGCTCTTACACAGTTTAAGATGTGCATATTGTTCTTGTGTAAATTTGTTTATAAACATTTCAATTTGTGGTGTTCAGAGGAGTAATGACAGAAGTAGGATGTCTAAACGTTTGACTGAAGAGGCAGAGAAATACTTTGAGAACTTCATTTCAAATGTTGAAGATACAGATATTTCATCTTTGGATGGGGAGAGGAGTGATACAAGCTCAACCTTAGGAGGAATAACAAAGACAGAAACTTTCCGAAGCCCAGTGATATACAAGTCTCGACCTGTAGAAATGGATGGGGTTGCTCTGCCCTGGTTACAATGGGAAACTTCTAATGATGCTTCTCCTCTATCCATGAAAAATAAGGACCTAGCATCAACTCCAAAAAGTAATTTATGGGATGGTGTACAGGTAATCTATGGCCCATTTTTCTTTCAAGCAGATTTAAGACCTTGGAAGAATTAGCTTACCCATTCCTCGATTATCTTGCTTAGCAAATCCACACTATGTTTCTTGTTCCCTTTTCATCTGACATGCATTATATGAATCTATCGTTACTTTTTTTTTTACCCTGTGTGGGTAAATGAATTGCATGTCAATTTGCACTCAGGAAGCAACGCCTGTTCAAGATTTAAGCACGCACTCCATCAGTAGCCATGGAAGCTGGAGCCCAGGACTTGCAGATGGCCATTCAACAAATATTAACGAACTTGAAGGGACTAAATTTGGAGAACTTGAAAGCTACAAAATCCAAATTTTGTCCCGAAGAACAAGGTCACAGTTTGATGTTGACGAGTATCTGAAGCGTCCAAGTGATGAAGATTTTCTCTGTGAAAGATGGAAGCAACAACAGAGAATTCATTCAGGCGGTCTCCTGCTCTGTAACCAAATGTTTTTCTAGCTGTGATCTTCAATTTATTCTTGAAGTTCATTTTCGCCAACTCTAAACTACATTGTATAGACTTTTAGATCTACAAATCTTCTTAAGGTAGCTGTTGACCTTCATCTTTTCGTCGTAAAATCCTCGTTACAATGTCCTTGTAAAAATATCGTTTGAATCTCCTGCACAGGGAAATCTTATCAGATGGCACCGAATATGCAGCCAGATAATTTTAATTCTATTACACATCAATTTTAGTTTAAATCACGTATGCTGATAACCCAGAGAAGCAAATTTGAGTCGAAAAACTCTTGTTTTTAGGTTCATACCCTCGAAATTGTTGACACCTTGTATACATTTAATTTATTGCGAGTATTCATTCACACGTAATCGGAAGTTATAATCCGGTATCAGGGAGAGAGTGTGGTGAATGTTTTTTTAAAAATAATTTTTGTTTTAAAATATATTAAAATAATATTTTTTTATTTTTTAAAATTTATTTTTAATATTAATACATTAAAATGATTCAAAAACATTAAAAAATAATTAATTTAAAGATTTTTTTAAAAAAATAATTGAAATGCATTATTAAACAGAGTTATAGTCAACAACTAGTTTTTTCATTCTTTATAGGTAGAATTTCAAATTAATTTTAAATATAATAAAAGAATGTGTTAATATCGGATATAAATTTTAAAATATCATGATAATTACACAAACTTGTGCATGATTTGTGTAGGATTTAATGTTAATTTTTTATATAAATAGAAAAAATATATATAATTACATTATGGATATGTTTTCATGTATAGATGATTTTTATTTTTATAAGAACCTATATAACTAATTCATATAAAATATAAGAGGATATAAATATAAAAGAAATAAAATTAATATTTTCAAGGTATCATGCAACCAGAAAAATTAAATAAAAAGATCTACTATGTGAAAAAAAAATTACATCATTTTTGTAAGAAATAAGAAGGGTGATTTAAATAGAAAGAAAATGATTAAGAAATTTAAACAAGTTAAAAGCCAAGGTTGATGGGCCAGGTCCACACGCTTGGCTGCATGCAAAAACCCAATCGCGTCTAAGTCTTGAAACGTAGGTTAACACTTGTTTTTTTTCTTTTAGGAGTGGACGATGTGCTGTGCACTCCAATTCTTTTCATTTTCTTAGAGCGAGCAACATGTCGCCTAAGTGATAAGCGACATTTTGCTTGCTAATTCAATTTTCAGTCACATCTGATTAAAAAAGTTAGGATTCAAGTTTTTAAACTTTAAAAATCTATTTTTTTTTATTTTTTTATTTGAAACCACCATAAAACCTTCATAACAACCTCCATAAACCACCCAAAATCATTAAAAAAAACCAGCCAAAAAAGTCTAACAAGACTAGATCTACCTTTTCTAGCATCCATGTAGGAAAAAAAAAAATACATCATAGTCACACTACTCTCATCAAATAAAATCCTTATGCACCAAACTTGGCTACTGTAGCTGGCAGAATTGTAAGAATCAGTTACTTTTTATTTCTAACATCACTTTTTAGTAAAGTTTTCTCTTAAAATCAAAGATTCAAAAATAAATAGATTAAACTTCTAGATTAAAATGAAAATTATCGTGAATTTAAGATTTACCATATTTTTTATCTATGTTTTACATTTCCACATCTTATTATTTATATAAATAATGATGACCACTTTATAAGTTTTAGTAATAATTGTGCTCTGGTAAAGGCTGGGATAAAAACAAATGAATGTGTAAAAATAATTTATAGACTTTTGAAAACTTATTAGCATTTTCATGATACTTAATATAACAAGTCAAATTTTAAAAATTTTAACTCGATTATTTATTTAGTTCAAATTTTAAATTAAATTATATGAGAGTTGTCTTAAAAACAAAACCCAACCCCAATACTACGAGATAAAACTAAATAAAAACCTTATATTAAAATATAAAATTAAAAAAAAATAAAAGATAAAAAATGGTAAAAAAACCTAAAGGAAATTAAAAAAAATGTTAATGGATGGAATTGGAATAAAAAAAGGGTAGAAGAACTAAAGGAAAAAAAACCATATTAAATTGTAAAAATAAAAAAAATAAGATAAAAAATAAAAAAAAGGCTGTTTTTTCCATGTATATAATGATAACATAAAAACTGATTTAGTATTAATCTAATATTAAAAGATAAAATAAAATAAAAATTTTATATTAAAAATAAAATTTAAAAAAATAAAAAGAGAGCTAGAAAACCTAAGAAAATAAAAAAATATATATCATATTAAAAAATTAAACTTGAAAAAAAAACTTAAAAAAATAAAAGAAATAGGTGAAAAAACCCAAATGACACAAAAAAAAACCTTAAAGGGCCTATCACAATAAAACCCGGGGGCGTGGGCTTGAGGATGGTCCGTGGGCTGAGGTTTCTTTTTGCTCTTTATAAGGGATGGACATCGAAGATGATTGTATCTTTGAAATCAAGACATTAAACTCGCGACCTCCACATCATACACACGTGTTAATCATTGAGAGACAACACAAATTTATTAACCAAACAATTAAAATAATATATTAACCTTGTTCACTGTTCATATGAAAATTAAATCACTTTTAGCTATTTTAGTAATCTTACTCATTTTCCTTTGTTTTTCCATGATTACCATTGATGACGAAGGTAAAACTGTTCTTGATACTTAAATCTAACATATATATATATATGTTTTTGGTTTTGCATAATGTGGGTGTTTGCAATGCCAGTGTTTGATGTGATTAAGCATTTTTAGTGATATAGAGAGAAATAACACAAGAAAAACAATAAATAAAATAACATAAAATTTTCAAAAGAAGGAATTTACAATTTTTTACTAAATATTCTTTTTTTAAAAAATACTTTTACTTCTAAGTCACAAACCAACCTAAACAAACTAGAAAACTTGAAATAAATAAAAGTGATTAGCAAGCTAGCAAAAATAAAATTGTTAAGTATATTATTTAATTTTCTAAACTAAATAAGAAGGAATAAAAATAATTAGGAAATAATGATTTTCCTTAAAAAAATTTAATTTTCTGAATTTTTTCTTTTTTTATTTCAAGTATATAACAATTTTAGACATTAATTTCAATCTATTAATCTTAAAATTTGTATAAAAAACAACAATTAACAATTTATTTTTCTTTGATTAGTTTCTAGAGTAATATATTACAAACATTAAAATTGCTTCGTTAATATGTTGTGTTGTATTCGCATAACCTTTAAACACATTTATATAACAATAAACTTGTAATTAAACAAATCAATGCAGTTTAAATCAATGACTTTTTTGTGTCAAAGATCTTCCACTCGGTATAGATGGGGGATTTGGCTAGAATAGTCTGATTCCCTAGATCTTAGTTAACAAGGACTTTGAAACATGAATGTTGCCCTCGGTTAAATGCGGAACTACCTCAATGAAGAAAAGTTGTTGTGGAAAAGGACTTGGATATTCTTTAAGGTAGTATTTAGTATGCTGAATAATATTATTGGTTTGGATTTGGCTCGTGATTTTAACCTGATCAAATTAACTTTTAAGTTTAATATTAAAATTATAATAATTATTATTTTTATTTTTATTTTTATTTTTATAGTAATTCAGATTAATGATTAACCTGATTAATTAACTTAGCTTAATTGATCATTAAATTTGATTTTAAAATTATGATAATTATTTTTATTTTTATGTTGATACAAGTCAATAATTAACTAGAATTATGATTTAAGTTTAGCCCAAGACAACCCCTCAATTAAATTTAAAAATTATAATAATTATTATTTTTATTTTTAAATCAATAATCTATCCAAGTTACCTGGTCTTTATAGAACTCCAAGTAAAGTTTTAAAATTATTATAATAACTATTTTTATTTTTATATTCATCCAAGTCAATAGTTAACTTGTTTAGTTTTCTAGGTCTTTTTAATTTCTTTTTTATTATTTACTTCTTTGTTATATATACTTTGACTTATAAATATTAAATTAATTAAAAATTATTTTTTTTAATTCAACTTAAATCTAGAATTTAATAGGGTCTAAATTTAAAATTTAAAAGGTTCAAATATGTGTTTGCTTGATTTAATATATTTTTTAAAAAGATTATGATTTTATCAATTTTATCGTACAAGGGGCAGTTAGATTTTAATATAATATTTTATGAACACCCCCCGTATTATTTTTTATCTTTTTATTTGTTAATTGTTTTGCAGGTATCTTCTAATTTTTTTCTCCCGACCACTTGCATTGCACAGGCGTCAATTTTATTTTATTTTTTTCTTTTGTGATTTAAAAAACCCATTGCAGCCCGCCACACAACACAGCCCACAAATCTAGTAAAAACTAAATCATCCAAAACTGCTATTTCCAGGGTCGGCCTCCACGCAGGAAGAGGATTGGTCAAAGAAAATGAGTAACAAAAATCATTGCAGAGACAACAGCAATTCAAAAGAAGTTACAAGCAGAGAGCACAAGGTCCACCATATCATCCCCCAATCCTCCTCAAAAGGGTAGCCAGTGATCTTTTTTTAATATAGAATGCAGATACCGATACATTCCAGTCCCTGGGGTATCAAACTATGCAAAATGCTATAAAAGAAAGTGAAGTGAATGCCATTTCCAATTGCCTAAGCTCTCTTTCAACTATACATGCTACAACTCCTCTAGGTTACCTTTCCTGCTCCCTAAACCTTCTTCATGGGACCCAAAGTGCGCTGTAACCCATACAAAACTAGAATTTCCTTTTTACAAAAAAAGAAAAAAAAACCTATAATAAACAAAACCCCAACCCCAAACACCTCTCTCTGGCAATTCACAAGTCACCATATTCTAGCGACAACAAATTGGTGGTTTACGAGCTTTTAAGCAGCCCTCCTCACCAAGAATATGAACCGTGGCCAGGAAAACAAAAACCCAACAATACCATTTGCTGATGTTTCCCCCCTGATAGCCCGAGGCTGTCCTTTTCAGTTGGTTTACCACCAATGGAGAGTTGAGATTCAATCCGTAGTAGGACTGTTTGTCTGCTATATTGCAGGGGGGACAGGCGATTATGCATGCCCATAGCTCTTACGACCACAATTTTGTAAAATTCTTGACCAGCACAATAATCAAAGCAAGAACCTAATCAATCAATTTCTCCCTCCTCGACATCTTTTGTTAGATCTGGAACACTAGAGGGTGGTTCAACTACTTCCTCTTCGTCTTCGTCATCTTCCTTCATGTATAATCCTAGTTGCTCCAGTGGGTTACTACCCTGAAGCTTGAAACTACCCAGCCCATTTTGAGAATGATCAGGGCTTGTTTCCTCTACCGAACTTGGAAGCTGTTCATCATGATGGGCAATCCTAAGCATTTCTAAGTCTTCCATAAACTGACAGTTCTCATTGATATCAACAGTCTTTTCCATCTGCAGAGAACAAGAAAATGTTTGGTCGTCTTCTAAAAGAAGCATTGGAGCCGGTTTTGCATGGATGTATTAGCCTTACCTGTATCAATGCCTGACGTGCAGCTTCCCTTTCCAGTTCCCTCTGCCTTTTGGCTTCAGCGGCAGCTTCAGCTTCAGCTTTCCTTTGAGCCTCTTCAGCCGCCTTAGCTTCTGCCTGCAACCGAGCTTTTTCTGATATCACAGATTAAAAGATAAATCATTGCTCCTGGTAAATAACATCACATGACTCAATTTATTGTTGAGTGACTGCAATTCCAAACCTTCCTTTTGCCTTCTTTCAAATTCCTCCTTCTCCTTCCGCAATTTCTCAGGATCACGCTTTTCACCCTGAATTCCATATCACAGAGTGAATGGGTACACGCCCATAAACAAAACAGAAGCATGTACAATTAAAGCAATTAATAGCATGAAAGTTTATAAAAGGCCAACCTTTTCAAGCGCCTTTTCTCGAGCTTTAAGTATGGTGTCAGCAAAACGGTTCCTCAGCAAAGCTGCCCGATAGAGCTTTTCAGGAGAGACTTGCCTCTCAGGTGGAGCACTCTCCCCTATAATATTACAGCATGATGAGTGAGATGAAGTCCCACATATAACAGCAATCTAATTAATGAGTTGCCTACCCTCTTGGTGGCCATCTGCCTCAGCTGCAACTAGCTTACCCTCAGTATCCAGCTCAACTTGGGCCAGCCCATCAACAGATTCTGAACAAAGCATGGCAAGCAGGATTTCAGATTAAATTTGGCCAAAACAAACTCTAAGCACCCTATAGCATGCATAATATGAAATAAAACCTCAAACTCACGATTTCTGACAGCTGGATCACCAAGATGACTTCTCTTTTGGACTCCATTTTCTCCAGGTTCCATTTTTTCCTATAAATAGAAGAAATATCAGATAAAAATCAATGTTACATCAAAAAGAAAAGGCACAGCACTTAAATTCGAACAATTTTCTGACTTGAGCTGATCAATTTATGCATGCATACCTCAGTAGCATTAATGGGACCGGGCACTTTAACCGCATCAGATTCAATGCCAGAATCTGAATCTGAAAAAAGAATCACAAGTAAAAAGAGATCATTAAACTTACCACGAAGGCTTTCACAGCTCAATTTAAATATATAAACTTTTTCATCTATAGAATTTAAAAGGAAAAACGAGCAGCAGCCATGGAATTTAAAAGGAAAAAAAGAGAGAAGGAAATTAACCACCACCAAATTAGCAATTACTAGGGGGCAAAGTTAGCCAAACCACACATTCTTATGTTTATCATACTCGAACTTGATAAATAAATAACATCATCAAGGCAACCCACTAATTCCAATGCCAAAACAGAGCACAAACCAAACAGAGAACTTTCGATTTCCTATTCCAGCCATGGGGCAAAACCTATGACTTCAGTTAAATAATCAGGAGAGGAACTATGTGGGGCACATGCCCCACTCTCACCTCTCATATCAATTAGCTATTCGAGGCATGGAAAATAAATGAAAAATAGGTTTTAAGGCTCTAACTTCCACGCCCAAAATGATAAATTCTTAGAAACTGAATATGTAAATATAAAAATCATGAGAAAAAGGTTTCTATGCTCAACTTCTGATTTATTGTGTCAAAAAACCGATCATGTTATGACATTCACATATCATGGACACAGAATCACATGTTGTAGGATGCTACTCAACCAAGACAACAACTGGGTGAAAAGATACTTATTTGAATCACTTGATGCATAACCCACAAGAGTTCTAAGCTAAAAGGACATCCTTTGCATTCATCTTCACGTCTTGATGACAAAAACACCTGCAATGGCCCTTTCCTGATCATAACATTCTGGGCTCTAAGCAAAGTCCAACGAGCCTGCACTTCTTCGGTGTCAATTTCAAGAAGATTTGATGATTCTTTTGTCTTGATCTATTTTTGTATTCTGTCATGTATGATGTCTTATTCCCCAATGTGATTTTTCTTCACTTCTATGAATTAACAACTTTTATCTGTTATAAGCAAAACACTGAGTAGTAATTTACCAGCTACAAATTATAAGCTCACACCTAGCCCATTGCATTTAACTGTTTGAACAATGGTTCTTAACAGAGCAACTGTCCAACAACCTATATCAGAAACATGAAGGGCAAATGCCAGCATGCATGCCCATATGATATTGCACATAAATTAGGCCAATAAAAATGATCATGAATTGGGAAAAACCGTGCCTTTGTATGTTTTGATGGCACTACAGTACATGGCAACCTTTTTCCACTCTTAAATCACGTCAAAAAAGAACAGCACTTCAAATATCCATAGTGTTTCAATACCATGCTCCACTACATATCCATGCCACTACAGATCAGACTTGCATCTTCTTCTTTCAGAGAAACATTGAACATGTATACCTAATGCCATAGCCGGACTGAACTCAAGGGTCAAATATAAGTTCGTGACAAAAAAATATAACTCAATACTAACAATCAAAGCAAGCCTCCTAGAACACATTTACTCTAAACAGCTGAAGGCAGATCTTGGCTGAAAACAGGGAAGAAAATCATTGTCCACAGCATCTTTGCATCCACCAAAAAGCATGTGGAAGTAATGCCAGAGTTTTAACTGGCATGATATTCTAAGAAGCTATTGACAGGACACAAAGTGAAATGAAATCTTATAGCTGCCTTCAAATATTTCACTATCCAGGAATATACTGTGAGGCATCTGTTGTAACTTGATGAGCTACCAAATATGCTATACAACTCTTGAGTGGAGCTAACAGAAAGGAACCAGAATCAAATTACACCTTAAGAAAAAAATCAGAGTAAACAAGATGCGATGGCAGCATGACATTCAAACAGAACTCCATCAAAGTTCACAAAGGTGTGCATTTTAAAGTTACACCAGAAGTCCAGATTCGTATCAAACAAGGTCCAATGGCAACATGGCATCCAAACAGAACTCCATCAAAGTTCACAAAGGTTTGCATTTTAAAATTACACCAGAAGTCCACATTCAGCATATGGAAAAACAACTTAATGTGTGTTTCTAAATTTTGAATGACTAATGTCTATAATTAATTTCTTCATATAAATCTAGAAATCAAGCGTGCATAAACAGCAAAATTGCTTATGAGTACTCCAAATATTGGAAAAAATATATATATATAAACAAATCCCCAAAGAAAAAGAAAGCAAGGATGACAAGGTTTACAAAACACTTGCCACTTGAAGACGAGCCCAATTCACTATTGGAGCTACTTCGACTGCTACATTTACTGTTTTTATGAGCCGCCTCTTCTTCTATCTTTACTGGAGAGTAGCTTGAGATAGGAGGATCATTCCCACCAACAATATCTATATCTTCTTCAGCAGTATCATTGCCTAATAAACATGATGTATAAGTATTCAACTGGCAACAAAATTACCATGCATAATGCAGTGAAAATGCACAAAATTAGAGTAAAAGAAAGTACCTTTGCATGGTTGCAATGATGAATTGCTAATCCCTGACTCGTTAATAATCTGAATCAATAAAAGCCACTGCTCATCAGACCTTTATTCAACATTTCCAGGATAAAGAACACATCACAACAAATGCAAACAAACATATGAGAGAAATAGGGGTACCTCCATTTCACATGGTTCAGCTTTTGATTGGTTTTTCTGTTTCTCCAGTAAATAGTTATCTAAGAGTTTCCGTAAGTTGAACAATATATCATCACCGAGAGCATCAATATCAATCTCAATCTCATCCTCGTCAGTCTGGCCAGCATTTCCACTATGCTCTTTTAGGAATTCAATAATGTATTCAGGCAATTCAGCGAGCAATGCCTCCAACTCCATGCTCAACTTCTGCCTCTCCTCACTGGTCATGACTTTCCTGATGGGCTCTGGTTTGACCTTACTGTCACTCGGCGTAATTTTTTTCTTTTTAGAAGGTGGAGTATCAGTAGTGGTTTCCTTTTCTATATGAGCAGTTGTTTCCATTTCCATACGCTCATCAGTTCTTGATGGCACTGGTTCTACATCAGCGGTAACAGGAATCTTCTTCTCAATAACTTTCCATCTAACTTCAAAGAACTTACTAAGGGTCTCAGCCATGAAATGGAAATCATTTCCAGGAGGGTTGTACTTCATTGCATTTGCGAATGTAAGTCGCACATCTGCAGCAAATCCCAATGGACTTGAATATTCACCAGAAATAATCCTGCTCTTCACTGTACCCAAATCCATTGGGTGTTTAATGATAGTGAAGTAGTCCGGTATGTTCATTTTCACCACATCAACAGGAGTATTGAAAATCCAACCAAACTGATGTCCCATCAAACGATTTAGTAATGTCTCACACTGTTTCATCAACATGGCATTAGTTATACCAAGTGGAGCAGCTGGCTTCACTGGCTCAAAACGCCCTGATGTACTCTTTTTTGAGCGAGCCCCATTTCGACCAGGAGGAGCCCGTTTCTTACTCTTGGGAGCCGATACTTCAAATGACCTGTGGACACCTTCTAGAGGAAGCCTCTTTTGGCCATCACTGCAACTCCGAGTATCACTAGAGGGCGATAACAGAACTGTATTTGAACTCAAAGAAGCCACTTTCCTCCGAAGGATTCTGACTTGTTCAAGTTCATTTTTCATCCTAATTTCCAAATCCTTCCTCTCCGGTCTTGACATCTTAGACAATGACAGGATTTGTGATGGTACACCAAATGTATCATACCCGTCCACACTCAAACTAATGCACTTCCTCTTGGGAGCGAAGGAATCTTCTGATGCTGTCATCTCGGTGTCAACACGTCCAGAGCTCCCAAACCCTTCTGATTCAGCCATGGTCTCAGCAGCATGCCGGTAATCTGGAACAAATCCCGAGGAGTACCCTTTAGAGAACTTCCTTGATTTCCCCATTGCTTGTGAAAGCCAACGCGTTTTCAATTCCTTCTGTCCAATAAACTCTATAGGAACAGTAGGTGCCATAAGATTAACTTCCAATAACTGCACATATCATCATCTTCAACTATTTAACTTCTTATTTTCCCTCTTCAATTTTACCATACACGTTTATTCAAATTCTTTAAACTTCAACGAAACCACTTTAATAAATAAATACATAAATATTTACTCTTGTTAACGTCCTTTTCTCGCAAAAATTTCAGAACTTCCACTACGATAGTCCTCCTTTATCTTTGAGCAGCAACATCAGAACATCATAAGATTATATACCAGTTGCATGTCTTTAAACCCAAATTCATCTGAAGCAAATCTTGAATAAACGATCTCTAAACCAACACTGGTCTGATTTATTTATAGGAAAAAACACTAAAACCCCAATCTTATTAACCCCCCCTCTCTCTCTATCGCTCCGAAATTCAAACAAAAAGAGAATTTTCAGAAATTAAAAAGCTTTATTTGTTTAACAAAACAAAATACGTACTCAAAAGAACCCTAACAACCTCCCTTGAGCAAACAAGCCCCCGAGAAACGGAAACCCTAGATAGATCGAAATCGAAGCTAGAAACAAACCAACCGACACGAACACAATGCGACTGAATACAAAACATAAACCCTAGAGAGAGAGAGTAATCAAGGCTTATTAATCAAACCACTCAAAACCTGGATATCCCTGCTTTCGCCTTTGATTCCAACAAACCCTAGAGAGAGAAAATCATTTCTCTTCGAGATTAAGAGAACGAGAGAGAGAAGGAGAGGAGAGAGAGCTTGAATAAGTGTGTGATATTTTTTGGGCTAGTTTGGTCCTCTTTTTAAAGGCCCAGTTCAGCCTTATTTGTCCGCCGCTGTTAAAACAATCCTCACCGTTTAGTTGTCCACCGGGTTAGATCTGATGGCTAAAGGCTAATGATTTCTTATACCACCGTCAAGTTCGTGATCTAACGGCTCTGATTTACTCTCTGCCATTCTGCGTAGATCGTGTTGGATTTTTTACAAATAGAGCTTCTAGACTCTACTTTATCAGGAATAATAACAAAACACGCGCTCCGCATAAATCAATGTCATATTCGCAGTATTGTGTTAAAACGTGTAAGTTCGCAGAGAAATTTACACGTGTAATTTTTTAGTGGGAGCGTGTAGGTAATTTTGAGGCGCGGAGGGTGGTTGATGTGGAAGAGGGGAAAATCACCAGGGGTTGGTGAACACGTATTTTTATTGACACTAGATTTGCTATTTAGTCTTCACAAAGATTTTAAAAACAAAAATCTAATAATACACAACAAACAAAATAAGTTAAGTTTATTTAAATCACATGAAAAAAAAAGTCAATGAAAGCAAACGGGAATATATATACATATAAAACTGATAAATGAGGAACAAGATTGACAAATAAATAATGTACTATTAACTTAGATTGAAAAGTAATATTAAAAAAATAATAAAATTTCTATAAAGACTTAAGGAAAAAAAATTATAAAAATAAAGATAGCATGAAAACACCAGCCCATGATAAAAAATATAAATGTAAATCAAAAAAATCATACACACATTCAGTTACATAAATCATAAAACTTTGTGTAAAGAAATAAAAACAAGTAATTAAAAGTAAAAAAAAGATAAGTGGAGAAATTAAAATACCAATGTAAATTAATATATTTAATATTTCAATATGGATTGTTTATTAGGTAATATTTAATGAAATTATTTATAAAAATTAATTTGTAATAGAAATTAACATGTAAAATTTATTGAATAAAATAAAAAAATATTATTCAAGGTTATATATATTAAAAATATTATAAAAGATAAATATTTAATCTATATAACACACACATAAAAATCAAACATGAATCATTTTAAACACCAAAAAATTAAACATAATCAATATAATTAAAAATATTTTTTATCTGATGAAGGATAAAAAACTCAAAAAAATTATAAAAAAATGTATTAATTTGAACATAAATTTAAAAATTATTTTAAAGGATATGTTTTTCAAATATTTTAAAGGTAAAAAAAAAAAAACAAACCTAATAGAGATCCCCTTGTTATGAAAAACCATTAAGACACAAAAATCAATCTTTTTATGATTTAAATTTTTCATGGTAAATTTTTTTGTTTCAAACTAGAATCCGACAACCTTTTTATTTTCATCCATAAAAAATTTAAAAATTTTAAAAAATAAAATTTTATATTAAAATATTATTATTTTAAATTATAAAAAGCGATCACCATTGTTACATATACTTTTCATTTTTTTTCCTGCTTTTCAATTAAATCCTCACAACTAATAAAAACAAGTAATTAAATTTTAATTTAGACTTGAAAAAAACTTAATTGTGTAAAATATAAAATAAAATATCAAATTAAACTTTTTTTAAAACTATTGCGGTCCAAGGTGAAACTTTAGAGAGTGAACAGTAACAACATCTTTGGTAAAAATGCCGCACGCTTTATGTGATTTTATAATTGTACCACCAGGTGACGCGGCAGGTGTGAACTATTGCTGTGCTCCTCCCACGTGCTCGATTTTGTATGGTTTAGAGCTTGTTCGGCTTTGGACATATCTTCTTGTCACTTTGACTTTGTCACTCTCACTTTTTTACTGCGGTGGATTTTATATTTTTTGCCAGCAAGTGAGTGTGTGTGTGATGTCACACTGTCATTAAACTCCAAACTTTACAAAGATCGAGTTCTAAAAACCTAGATACGGGTCGCCTTATAAGATCCGCTTAATCTGGTTAAAACGATATTTTTTTTTTTTTAATTAATCGACTAATTATATACGACTAATTATATAGATGTAAGTGTCTTTTTATGTCCTAGCTGCGGACCAGGATTATGCGGCAAGACCAGACTAGTTTTTTGTGAGTATGAAATTAAGTACAGTCATCGCAAATAAAAAAAGAAGAAAATCTGTGTGTCTGGTTATAGAAGTGACTAAGTCATGTAATTTTATTTTATTTTAATCGGATAATAAAACAAACGTAACGATGACAGATAAATTAAATTAAAAAATAATAATGATAATAATAATAATATAAAAAAAAATATGTTTTTTTAAATAAATAATATAAATCAATTATAGTCCATTAAATATAAAAAAATAAAATTAAATAAAAATAATTTAAAAATTAGCTTAAATTAACTTGGGTTAACATAACGAATATGTAACTTTGACAATTAGAACTGAGTTAACTTAAATTATTCCATTAAATTCATAATTCGTGTCATGAAATTGGATAATCTGATAAAAATAAAAAAAAATTATAATTATTTTTTTAAAAAAAATATTAAATGATGAAAAAAAAATGATGCCAGCACATGTTAACTTTTCGAACTTGTAGTTTTAGTCACCAAACAAAAAATACGTGGTGTGGAAAACTCATAAAAATTAATTTTTAATTTATTAAATAATAAAATTAAAAAATAAATCCACCATGCAAAAAGATTCAAACACATGAAATGGTAATTATAGGAATGGCCATCAAAATTAAATTTTTTTATTGAAAGGTTAAATTAAAAAGAAAAACAAATTACAAAAGAACTTAAAAAAAATAAAATAACCAAGAGAACGAGGATTAAAATAAAATAATTTTTTATTTAATGGCGTAATTAAAAAGAAAATTCAATTTGTTAAAAGGAACCTAAAAAATGACAATCAAATTGAAAAAAAAATCATATATCCTAAATTGAGATTAAAGAAATAAAAAAAAATTATAAAAATATCAAAAACAAAAATTTGAAATTAAAATACTGGAGACCAAAGAGGAAATCCCCGTGAATCAAAAGATAACTATGAAAATTTGTATGGCTAACATGAGTTTTGAGACGAGGAGAGAAAAAATGAGATTGCTAGCAATAAACTGTGTCACGGTTGATAATATATGCCATCCTAAAATAAAAAAACACCATAATGCTTTCAGAGACATAACCAGAACAAGATGAAGTTTTTTTTATTTAAAGGGATCGCGTGCATCGCTTAAATGGCATAGACACCTTCCATAATTTGTCATGTATATTATATGTACCAACATATATATATATATATATATATATATAATATCAAAATCTCCCCCC